TGTTTATCAATTAAAATAATTGGTCTTACTATTATAATAGAATAATGCATATCGAAACTAGGATATCTAGCTGTATACATATTTCAATTATATTAATCATTAGCATAATTAATTTTTCAGAGGCTGAGAGTGCTCTCAAGCATCTCTCTCAGTATAATTAACTAGCTATAGAGATTGTGTAAAAGTATTATGATTAATTAAAGTAAACCTTATAGTAATTTTGTTAAAGATTTTATAAACTGTGATAATATATTTAAATATTTATATTTTTGTAAAAATTTTTAAACCAAATCATAACGTATTTACAATATTAAATTTTCTAAGATAATTCCCAAATCTGTAAAAATAGTTCAAAAAAACAAATGTTTGAAGTAAATAAACAACATAATGTATACCTTTTTTACAAACTATTGCCAATTAATTTTGTAATTAATTTATACAAAAGTAACTTATCTGTTTCGAATATTGCTTGCAATTCTTCTGCTCTACCTTTCATTAATTTTTTCATTGTTAATTTTTCTGTTTTATCTAATGTTGATTTTTCTGCTCTACCTACTGTCAATTTTTCTGCTTTACCTACCATCAATTCTTTTGCTTTATTTACTGTTAATTCTTCTGTTCTATCAACCATTAAACCTTCACATCCTAAATCTTCATCTACATTATCCTCTAGTTCTATTACAAAACCTGGTTTAATGAATGATATCGAAGATATTACTGATATCGAAAATATTAGTGATATTAAAATTATTGATGATAAAAACTTTGGCTTCATTCTATTATAAAATCTCTGCTTATATATCTTTCAGATTATATGAAAGATTACCAGTTTAAAAAAAACTAATTTTATGTTAAAGCAGCTCTTTACCTCAGTAAGAGAAAAACTGAATCCCAAGTTACAACAAAAATTAGATAGTTAATTAATAAATATGTGAAAGAAAGTGCTAATAAAATAGGCAAAAGCACATCAAAATAGAAATTTTTTACAGAAATGAATGAAATATTTAGTAATCGCAAGAACATGCACCCAGGCTACCTAATTGATAGTACAGAAAAGGTAATTTGTATAATTATCATTATTTGTTATCATACATATATACGTATATATATATGTATATATGTATATATATATATGATACAGGAAATTTAAAAATCTCAATCTTCATGTTAAGATAATACATAAACTAGTAGCTATGTAATTAAAAGTAAACTTTTTAAATTATTAATCTTAATGCAATATGTAAAAATAATATATACTTAATTAGAGCTGTATATAGCTGAAACTTAAAATAAACTATTACTTAATTTATTTTCAATATACAGATTATTTTTTTTCTATATAATGTGATTGAGGTTTTTAGATTTCTTGTACTGTACATACATATTTAGTAAATATTTCAATATTTCTAGTTTTTTTTATCAATTCTATACTATATAATTTTTAATAGATATCCAAAAATATCAATTAACCAGAAAAAGATCGTTCATTAAAAAAAAAGAAATACAGTAAGTTAAGTGAAGATGATGAAATTTATATTCAATTAATGATCACAATTAGTGAAAGTAAAATATTATCTACACAAACTAAACAACAGCAGTATAATTTAAAAAAGAAAAGTTACAATTCGAGTATAAAAAATTTGAACATCAAAAACACATTAAATTAGAAAATATAAACTTAGAACTAGAAAAATATAAATTAGAATTTGAGTATAAAATAAAATTAGAATTAAGCATTAAAGAGCTAGAATTAAAGTATAAGTATAATATAGAGGTAAAAGAAAATTCATTGTAAATAATAAATCCTAAATAAAAATTAGCCATAAATATGTAATATGTAAATAATTTTTTTTACCTTTATTTTATGATAAAAAAATTACACAAATGCAAATCTATTTTTTTAAATTTTCAATTTATCAATATACAATAAAACTTTGCTTTAAAATCAATCTTTAAAATTCTTCAAATTATCACCAAGACATAAAATTAATTTAAAATTTTTACTATTTGCTTTTTTTTTTTTTTTTTTGGTGTTATAGTAAGGCCTTGCTTATATCTTTATTAGTAATTTTAAAAATAGTAACTACATTGTAGAAATACTACTATTTGTACAAGTAC